ATATATTTGGATAGTGATTATTACCGTAAATCAAAGAGAAAGGTTTCTACATACTTTAACTTGTGCGGTTAAAATGTAGTACAAAACCATGCATGCGAGGGTGATTATGATTTCTTCGTTATAGTAATATTTTAGTTCCTGTTTGCCTAGCACTTAAGCAATCAATATTATGTACCCCCCCAAAAAAAAAACATTATCCGTACTATATTTTTATCCTCATTTTTTTTATGGGAATGTGAAGAATTGAAAATGGGGCAAATTCAAGTTGTGGGTGTAATGATATATGGAGTAGTATTATATATGAATAACATTGTTCCAAAAAGGTTGAATTCTCAACCTCAACGGCTCTCCACGTCGCGACCTGACAGAGCATCTGGGAGATGTAAATCATGGTACTCAATTGGAAAGAAAGGTTAAAGGTTAGACCTTTGCTTAGTGCGTACAAGGAGCTTTTTTCACTTTGAAAGGTTGCTCCCACACTATCGCTGGTGAGATTCGATCCCATGTCATTGTTTCTAAATTTTATCCATGTAATCAACTGAGATGCCCATGCAGGCTATATATGAATATCATACAAATAATAGATCGAGGTGAAGTATACCGTGTACACCAAAGCTTTAGGCCATATTTTTTCGTAGACAATAATCAAGCTTTTCAAGCATGATCCAAAACAGACTTAGATTATGTAGTCACATAATAGTAGAGATACTAGATACTATACTATACAAAAAAAGGTGTACGTCAATGATGTTTACATTAGTTCAATTTGCAAAAAATAATAATAATAATAATAATAATAATTGATGTTATTATTACCCACTTTCCTCTCATTTTCATTTTTTGCAGCATGATGATGCTATGCAATATAGAGTTATACAATCTTTTCACAGTAGAATGTTTATATATAGCACTCCAACTAATACGAAATCGAATTATTGTCAAATTTATAGAGTTTCTTTCAATTGAATTGATTCATCCACAAAATTATATTCAAACTCCGTTTAAACTGACCTAAGAAAAAATTGTACTTTTCATATCTAAGTTATAAGGTATTGTAAGATTCGTACCTAAGCTACTTGCTGGTCGTACTCATTTCTTGTTTACAAATTATAACTGGCATTGTAAATTTTGTCATTTTTCTAACAGGTCGTGCTCACTTCTCATCCCTATCTAAGTTATAACTGACGTTGCTAATTGCGTCCATAATGTTTTATTAGAAAAATGACTGAAATTTGCAACGTCAGTTATACCTTAGAGATGAGAAGTGATCACGACCAACAAGTAGCCAAGTAGGGACAAATATAATCCTACAAGTTTCCTATAACTTAGGATGAAAAATATAATGCAGTTTTCCCTACAATTAAAAGAAAGCCACTACTGGAAATTCTGAAATTTCCAACCACCTGAAAGTGATCATAAATCAAGTTGAAAGTCTTGTTCCGACCACTTTTGGTATCCGGAAAAACCTTTGTTGCTATTTCCGACCACTTTTTGGACTTTTTGGTATCAACTTAATTTAAGATCATTTTCAGGTGGTCGGAAATTTTAAAATTTCCAGTAGTGAGCTAAGCTTTGACCCTGTTTGGTAACATAGTTAGCTTATTAGCCAATTTTTTTTTTTTTTTAATTTGACCACTATTTTAGCTGTTTGACTTGGTTAAACAATATGCGTGTTTGATTAATTAGATTGGTATAACAGCTTATTGCTCCAAAATGCTAAAATTCAAAGAAAAATTGTTCTTTTTCGATTAGTTTTTTGAGAAAGTTATTTTGCATGCAATCAGATATCAGCTACCCCAGCTAATTTTACAACCAGCTAATGCTATCAACTAGTCAAACCCAGTAACCTAATCAGCTAATAGCTATTTACCAAACATCACTTTTATTTACTTAAAACATATGCTAAAATTGAAACTTTATACTCACAACCCTTGAAAAGTCTCATCAAGCCAAATACCCATAAAAAATTGTGAGCAATGCAAAAAAGCTAGAAGCTGGAAACCACCACTGATGTGGTAGCTAACTTCAAGGCCGGCTTGGCATGGAAGGATGGACCTTAAATTATCTTGAAGAAGCTAAGGGAGCTGAGCACATAGACACGTACAGTACAGCAGCAGCCTATGACTGCCACAAACAAAACAATTCTTTTAAAACATGCAATGCATTATATATGGCGCGGGCAGGCATGCAGGTGTAGTATAGTATGGCGAAAAGGTTTAGTTTCGAGAGTGGGAAGAAAAAGGTGGTCTGGGAGTAGTGTATGGAAAAGGCAATGTTCTTATGTTACTGGGCACCAATTGTTTTATAAAACCTAGGAGAGGTTGTCGGGCAGAGGGAGAGAGAAATGGCAGAAAAAGCAAATAGCACGCGGGAGAGGCAACGCAGCCCATCCAGTACGGGGGTGGCTTAGCTTAGCTCAGCTCTGGGTGCCTAGGGTGGCAGCACCACCACTAACGGCAGCTATCAGCCGGCCTGCGCCTGCGCCTGCGCCACCACCTTTCCTTCTGAACCCACCCATAGTCGCCTCCTCATCGGTCCCATTGCATGCATGCCTGCAGGTTGCAGTTCAAATGGTTTTCTTGCCCCATCCATACCCCACATTACCTGCTTCCTACTGTACTATACACATTCTTGTAGGTTTTCTGAAACATAATATGTTCTGATAATTGATTTAAAAATTAATGGCATTAAGAAATTTTATTGTATGATAGTATAAATATTAGGGAAAAAGTCCTTAATCTTTACTCAAAATTCAATTAGAACCTTAAACTTTCAAAAGTTACAATTAAACCTATAAAACTATTATTTTGAAGTATTTAAGCCCAGAAACTAGTTGGTAACCTGTAATTACAGGTTACTTAAGGTTATGGTGACCTTTCCAGAATTCCAGCAATAATCACCAGCGACGATCGCGTTTGGAGAAGACAACCAACTGGTCGCCTTCTCTGGCAGTTGGAGAAGGCGACCAAATTGGTCAACTAGCTGCCTTAGCTTCTCAAGCGAAGGAGAAGGCGTCGCCCTCTCCAGCGAAGGAGAAGGCAGACTAATTATGTATGTATGTATGTATTTATATTATTATATATGTATGTATGTATATATATATGGCTTTGGCGTAGCGGCAAATTATCCAGATATCAAATATGCAATGCAGTTTCATTTCGACACAACTAAAGTATCAGTTTGATATAACTACAGTTTCATTGGACAATATACACTCAAATATGTGAAACTGTTATTCAGTTTTCTTTTGTATACACTACAGTTTCATTTCAACACAAGTACATTTTCATTTCAATTCAATTGCAATTTCATTTGATAATATAATAAAAATAATACGTGAGACAATGTCAGTTTAGATACATTATAGTGTCTGTCGTTTTGGACTATGGTCCACAAAGCTTTGTGAACTGCAGTCCACAGTATAATTGCCGCTATTTTCGAAACCCACCCCTACCTAAGTAAGGGGCGGGACGGACCGGTCCAACGACTATATTAGAATTTGATTAATTAATAATTTTAGTTATTTCAAATTTTAAAATCTAAAACTATTATCAAGAAGGTTGCACATCACTTTTAATTTTTTTTTTTTTTTTTTTTTTTTTTTTTTTTTTTAACTATTCACTTTATTTGAATGACAAATTGTTTTTTAAAAAATAATGGCTTACAACTATAATAGTCAGGATTAAGCCAAAAATTATACTTATAGTGAATGTCCAACTTTACTTTTTTATATTTATGTAGCAGTCAACTCCACATTTTAATTGTTGGATATTGAACTTGACCTCCAAACTTTCACCCCAAGAATGGTTAGCTCTATGCAATAATGCTTATGCTTATTTATTAAGCTAATTGTGCATACACTGCAAATTGATCCGTAAGTACATAATAGGGCTCATACCACTTATAGCAAAGTAGGTAAAATCATGAATGCTCGATCATTTATGTTATTATGTACCATATTATTAGGACTTCAATTTAATATTCTACATTTGTACAATATATATTGTACCAAGTACAATAATTACTTTAACCTAATTCTAAGGTGCATTTTTGTTTTGTTTTTATTTTTCTTTAAAGAATATATATAACAAATTAAAAAACATTTTTAAACAAAAAATGTATTTCTTAAAATAATATATATTAACATCAACAAATATTTTTTAATTCAAACTTTATGTGCTACACCTAGTGTTAAGGAAAACACATATTTTAATAAATGCCCTCATTATTATTGACTTCAAATTTTGTAAATTTTCTTTATAAAAATACATTCCCATTTATCAAGAAAAAGAATAGAAATAATATAATAAAAGGGTGACATGATAACTTCTAGAGAGAGAGAGGCGTGGTACGGATGGTTAAGCAACTTTAGACTGCTCAGTAAAATATGTATACTTTTTTTTAACCTGTTACAGTACACTGCTATATCACACATCTACTAGAAACACCAAAAAGTTGCAGTAATTTTTTATTTTTATTTTTTTTTTAAAGAAGAATTTATGTAAAGTAATGCATTGTAAATTACACTTTCCATTGGCATCTAAGCATATATTTATTTACGGAATCACCTTAGTCACCACTTAAAACTAATCTAAACTGGACAACTCAACCAAGTTCATCATTAGACAATTAATTACGGAGTATTTGATAATTATAAAGTTACAAGTTTCATTTAGAAATGGCATATTAACTTTCTTAGTTTGAATTAGTCAATTATGATAAACATAAACTGACCCGTTTACCTTTTTATGATCAATTGTTAATTATAGTCACAAGTAAATTTATTCAGTAGGCATCTAGCTTGGAGTAAGTGGTTGTAATAGAGCTCTTTTATGGGGTGGATAAGCTCGGAGTTGCCCTCTATATATATATTAAGTCATTAATAGTTGATTATTCAATTAATACCACAGAAGTGACTTTTCTGTCTGAGCTCTTTACCACTGCCCTCCATATATAGAGTAGAGAAGTGCCCTGATCTGAGCTGCATTGAGTGAGGGCCTTTCCACTTTCATACACTACGTCTTAAAATCTCCTCCCTTTACACACACACACAAACACACATTTATATACAGTAAAACCCATCCAATCAAGAAAATCCGGCCTCTTATATATAATCCTAGAATACTAGGAAGTTTGGATCAGTACGTACGTTTTGTTGGTGGTTGGATTGAAGTAGGCAAAACGGGTCTACCTGTGTGGATGTTGGGTTTGGGTGCGGAGCGGTTGCGAGTCGACATGAATCGCTTGCTCGCCCTACTCTTTCACCAGGTTTCAATCTCGATTATCTGCTTTAATTGAATATACTATACATTTAATTAGTTTTTACATACTTATTTGTCTTCGATCTCCTTTATAATTCTTACAAGCTAAGCTAAGGTGTATATTAGTATCATGCATGTTAGCTAGGTTGGTTTTTTAAGGTAACAATTAGGTGGTAATTGTGTGGATATGTATGTAGGGAGTGTTGGATGAGCAATTCTTGCAACTACAACAGCTTCAAGATGAGGCTTCTCCCAACTTTGTCTCCGAGGTTGTCAACATTTACTTCCACGAATCCGAGAAGCTCCTCAGGAATCTCAGAGCTTTGCTGTATGTAACCATGCACTTCTTTCTTTCTCTCTCTCTCTCTCTCTCTAGGAAGCTGTTAGCTGTGTGTGTGGTGTATGGGTAAAAGGAATTTATGGTGGTGATGGATGGGCATATTGATGAACAACCAATCAACCAGGCAGAGCATATCTAGTTGAGCTGGGGTGTATGTTGCTATGTGGACCATGGGCTCTTTAGTCCTTTTACTGCTTTCTGTTATAACTGATTCTTATCAGTTTATCTAGCTGTTGTTCTCATTGTTTTGTACTCACTTTTCCCTTCTCCTTTTTTTTTTTCACTTACTGTAAAACCAGAAGCTCCAATAATGAATGACATGAAGTTTCTTCTTCCTTGCACCATGATCAGACAATTACAATAAATCCGTCATAACAGAGCCTATGGTCCACATAGCAACATACACCCCAGCTCAACTAGATATGCTCTGCCTGGTTGATTGGTTGTTCATCACATATTCTTTGTTATATATTAAGCATGCATAGGGAACAAAAAGTATATATATATATGTCTAAGAGCGACACCCCCTTTTATTAATTATTGCTTCTTTCTTGCTCATGCATACATAACGTTATATTATGCGTACAACGTTAATTATTATAATGTTAAAAATAAAACTATCTCATACGGTTGATTTGATATAACTACAATGGTTATTGATTTTTTTGTTTGAGCCACTACAGTAGTTTTTATTTTTTCCTGGCAACTAAAAATAATGAATAATGGTATTAAATATATAATACATGGTGCAGGATGGAGAGTGAAATATGGGACTACAAGAAAATGGGAATGCATTTGAACCAGTTGATGGGAAGCAGCTCCAGCATTGGAGCCAAACGAGTGAGAAATGTATGCGTCGCCTTTCGTGCTGCTGCCGAACAAAACAACCGTTTTGGGTTCGTGTCCCGTGGCTCCATTTATTATTAATATAATATAATTTCAATTTCAATTAATTAATCTCGTACGTACCTCGTACACATACATACATGTTGAAGTTGAATAACTGTCCTCTATATATATATATAATTCATCAGGTGTTTGAGAGCCTTAGAGGCACTTGACCATGAATACTGCTATCTCAAGAACAAACTCGTAGAACTATTCCAGCTAGAGCAACAGCGGGTATTAGCAGCTGGAGTGAGATACCCAGTACTTCATCTTCCTCACACTTAATTAATTAGAAGCTAAGCTATGGCGGCCAGCTAGCATTGCATGCAGACAGTAAATTAAAGAAAGGAGACGTAATTTATTTGATGTAATTAATTGGTTGTCGTACGTAGTAATTAGCATGGTATGGTTTTAGCTAGGTGGTCGGATCGCTCGTATGAGAGAGAGTGTCTGTCTGTGTTGGTTCAAAATGAAAAAAAGCAAATTAAAATCAGATCTTTTTAATCTGCAGACACCAATCCAATCAGACATCTCATGCATTCAATTCAATTGCCGTACGTACGTGCTATGCCTATCTATTTAATGAATTTGACAATTATTCTGAGAACACATCTCCCAGATTCACTTCCCATCATTTCTACTTTTTGTTTGGTTGCTTTTGCCAAATCTTCCAAATTAAGCATCTTTCATTTATTCCTAATTTATTTTTATAGGTCTAATTGAATTTTGCATTTAGATTGACTTAATGCCCTCTATTGGCTTAGTGTCTTTTAAAATACGTATTAAAAATATCACATTTTAAATAACTGATGAATATTGATGCATTAATATATTTGTTCGCCCGGACAACCTAAAAGTCTAAAGGAGAGTTGAATAGACTTTTAAACTCTTTTTGAAAATAGCTTTAAGTGAACTTGAAATTCGAAATCAAAGTAAAGAAAATAAATTACTTGCAATGGAAGTATTATATTTTGAGCTTGACAAATAAAATTGTAGTTAAGTTTGATGATATTAAAGTGTAACTGTGTGTATGGAGTATGGGGTTAGTTGCAATGTAAAGTGCAAAAGAGATTTAGAGTGATTCAAAATAAACTTCTTACTTCACTCTTCCGCTTTAACTCCACCAAGGATTTTCACCATGTATTTTGTGTTACAACAATACAAGTGAAATAGAAGCCTGCAACTTCTTCCAGTTGGCAATCCTTGAAACAATCACAAATTCCTTGTTGACTTATCCTTTACTACTTGATCAGAGCTAGCCAATGGTCAATCACCAAGTCGATCGCCTTGCTAGGATGATCTCCCAACTTCCTTAGCCTGAAAGATAGAACTTGTTTAGTGTTGGACTTTTGAGGAATCAAAATGACTCTTCTCTCGGCTTAGAAGACTAAATATTGCAATGAAGTGGTATACTTCTCAATACTTGATCACAAGAATTTGATTTTCCAGCATTTTTCTTCTAAGCTGAATTGTGGTCATCCTTTTGTAGAAGAGGAGAGGTAAGCGTCAACTTGAATTTGAATTTGCCCATTTTCTCTCAACAAGTGGTAGCCGTCCAAAAGCTGCCAAAATCCCCTAACATCCACTGCCAAATCCCTTTATTTATGCAGCTTCAGAACCATAGAGCAAAGACTATTTCCCTATTAAGTATATAAACACACTTTAATTGGGTTCAAAAGAGCCTTCCTTATTTATCACAAATTTATCTTATGCGTAGACTTTATTGGTTTCAGATAAATTGCACTGTGTCTAATAGCTCTTTTTATTCTTCCGACCTCCTTTTGATGATTTTCTTCCATTAAAGTCTCCTTGTAGCTTGGTGATAGTAGAGAATTTTCTTAATAAAACATTTATAAGGTATTCTTAACTTGATTCCAAAAGATATTCTTTTGATACATTTCCTTCCGACAGGCCTTCCGAAGTTGCTCCTTCCTATTTCTTTTCTTCCGAAACTGTTTCTTTCAGTCAAACTAGAGTTGCTATCTAATTGAGCTTACAAAGGAAGGAGATTAACTTACAATAAGAAATGAAGAGTCTATAATCTCTATACAATATCTTTTGTATCATCAAAATTTATAAACAATTATTCCTAACAATATTATACCCATGTGCATATCGGGATATAATGCACATGGCACATCGGCTAAACTTATTGTCCAATGCACAAATGTAAAAATGCACAACTTCATATATATATATTTATATTTGTTAATTTATTAGTTTTATAATATATTATCATTAATGCATTATACTTATGTGCATCAGTGATGGTTTTTGGGTTTTCGGGCCCAAGGAGGTCCAACACAACCTTTAGCTGGAGGATACACCTTTCAATAAAAAGCTTGCTAAAATAATATGGGCTCGATGATTTTGACGTGGAAACCGAAAGGAAAACCACGGGCCTTTTTGGGCGGTGCCAAGCCTAACTCCACTATGTATTTTGTAGGTGTCTTTGTACATATTTGTAGGGCTATATCTATACAATGTGTTGTGCTTCTAATAATATAGCAAGAATAATAGAAAGAAGAGTGATGGAATGGTGTGGAAGAGTCCTTCCATGTGTATAGATGAGTGGTCTTCTCTTGGGAGAGTGGTGTAGGAAGAGTACTTGTATATAGGAATGAATGATATGTCTTCTTGAAGGAGAAGGAGTAGTGAGTGGTAGGAGTATTATTTGTTTGGTGATGTGGCGTAATGCACCCTTCCATCCTCAAGCCTTCCCCCCTTTTGATCTTGCTGCCTCCCACCTTTTATAGCTAAAGGGACTAAGAGATGTTGGGGGGTATTTACTAGGATTTATGGGTATTAAGTTGGGGGGTTAGGATGAGGTAGTAACTTAGGTAATTAATTGGGTAGTTAATGGGGAAATGAAGGGTAGTGATAGGTGGTTTAGTAGGGTAACGACTACTTGGCCTATTGAGTGAATAGGGTAATAATTAGGAGTTTAATATCGGTTAACGGCTAGTTTAGGCCAACCTTCTACTCGTGCCGACTTCCGGGTCGAGCCGACCCCGGGTCGAGCCGACCCCGGGTCGAGCTGACTCCTCGGTTTGACTCGTATCTCTTTTGGGCTTACTCCATTTTCCTCTTGGGCTTCTCTTCTTCTTCTTGGGCCCCGAGCCCACGGGGTTCACACCCCATCAACTAGTCCCTCACTTTTCTATGTCTCGCGCTTAGCATGGCATGGAAAAGTATATTGTCTTGCCTCAAAATTCCCTTTATTAGCCCCCTCGATTTTTGCCGACTCTTTATTTCAAGATCCCACACGACTCCGTTCTCATGACTTCTCTTCGTTTGCCATATGACCGACTGTTTCGGTGGATGTGACCCTCTGGCTTCGAGCCCCTTTTTTCTTTAGTCGTCGAAGTGAATCTCAGCTATAACTTTTTCTTTCTCTAATAACTTCTAAGGGTTCAGACCCTCGATTTCTTCTTTATTCGCCGAGTCCCTCAGTCGAGGCGACCCTTAGTGGTAGCTTCTTGTTTCTCTAAGGGTCGGAACCCTTGTTCCTTTTCTCTTTTTTTGCCGAGTCCCTTGGTCGAGGCGACCCTTGTTAGCTTTTTTCTAAGAAACGTCTAAGGGTTAGCGCCCTTGTTTCTTTTCCCCTTTTCTCTCGCCGAGTCCCTCAGTCGAGGCGACTCCTTTTGGCTTTTCCTCGGAAACGACTAAGGGTCTGGGCCCTTGTTTCCTATCTTTTCTCGCCGAGTCCCTCAGTCGAGGCGACTCCTTAGGCTTTTTCATTTCTTAGAACTGATTTAGGGTCAGTGCCCCGTTGTTTCTTCATATACTCGCCGAGTCCCTCAGTCGAGGCGACTCCTTTTGGTTTTTTCTCGGAAACGACTAAGGGTCTGGCCCTTGTTTCCTATCTTTTCTCGCCGAGTCCCTCAGTCGAGGCGACTCCTTAGGTTTTTTCTTTTCTTAGAAACGATTTAGGGTCAGTGCCCCGTTGTTTCTTTATATACTCGCCAAGTCCCTCAGTCGAGGCAACTCCTTTTGGCTTTTTCTCGGAAACGACTAAGGGTCTGGGCCCTTGTTTCCTATCTTTTCTCGCCGAGTCCCTCAGCCGAGGCGACTCCTTAGGCTTTTTCTTTTCTTAGAAACGATTTAGGGTCAGTGCCCCGTTGTTTCTTTATATACTCGCCGAGTCCCTCAGTCGAGGCGACTCCTTTTGGCTTTTTCTCGGAAACGACTAAGGGTCTGGGCCCTTGTTTCCTATCTTTTCTCGCCGAGTCCCTCAGTCGAGGCGACTCCTCAGGCTTTTCCTTTTCTTAGAAACGATTTAGGGTCAGTGCCCCGTTGTTTCTTTATATAGTCGCCGAGTCCTTCAGTCGAGGCGACTCCTTTTGGCTTTTTCTCAGAAACGACTAAGGGTCTGGGCCCTTGTTTCCTATCTTTTCTCGCCGAGTCCCTCAGTCGAGGCGACTCCTTAGGCTTTTTCTTTTCTTAGAAACGATTTAGGGTCAGTGCCCCGTTGTTTCTTTATATACTCGCCGAGTCCCTCAGTCGAGGCGACTCCTTTTGGCTTTTTCTCGGAAACGACCAAGGGTCTGGGCCCTTGTTTCCTATCTTTTCTCGCCGAGTCCCTCAGTCGAGGCAACTCCTTAGGCTTTTTCTTTTCTTAGAAACGATTTAGGGTCAGTTCCCCGTTGTTTCTTTATATACTCGCCGAGTCCCTCAGTCGAGGCGACTCTTTTTGGCTTTTTCTCGGAAACGACTAAGGGTCTGGGCCCTTGTTTCCTATCTTTTCTCGCCGAGTCCCTCAGTCGAGGCGATTCCTTAGGCTTTTTCTCGGAAATGACTAAGGGTCTGGGCCCTTGTTTCGTATTTTTTCTCGCCGAGTCCCTCAGTCGAGGCAACTCCTTAGGCTTTTTCTTTTCTTAGAAACGGTTTAGGATCAGTGCCCCGTTGTTTCTTTATATACTCGCCGAGTCCCTTAGTCAAGGTGACTCCTTTTGGCTTTTTCTCAGAAACGACTAAGGGTCTGGGCCCTTGTTTCCTATCTTTTCTCGCCGAGTCCCTGCTCGAGGCAACTCCTGGCTACGATTCTTCTTCTTCAGGTAAACTTCTCGGACTCTTGGTTCTTTTACTATCTCGAGCGACTCTTGGGTGTAGCTTTACTTTTCCTTCCCTTTATATAGCCCCTTGTAGATGAGACATTCTATGCGCAAGTAAATTTTGGAATGCATTTCCTTGGCATGCTCAGAATATATCCAAGTATATTGTGCGGCACATGCGATTGGAAATTAAGCTCGCCATATGTAGAAGAATCCATCCTCCAGACTCCCATAAGGGATAATACCCGGTCAGACTCTTGGAGTCGGCTCTGCATCTGCCTGTCTTCTTTACTGATTGCTACGTACCATTTAATTACGCACGGAAGTTCAAGGATCTTCGAATATACTTGTCAAAAAAGGTACTTTCCCTGTCTCCTTGCCAAAGTTGTCACAACCACGTACTGCCTGCAGGCTTACTCACAAAAATTTTGGCCCTCAACTTGTCTTTGCCCATTATACTTCAATTCCATGCACTTTGAATATAAAGTAGACGTATCCTCTTCTTTCATCAGTTTGCAAACAGTGTGTTAGTTGGTTCTTGAGCTTGATTATAGGTGGAGATCATTCATTGTCGTATCTTTTCCTAAAAGTGTCAAGATTCGTGTAGACTTCGCGGGATTCACCGTTCTCCATCGTGCATTGCCTTCGACCGTGGGAGCAAAACTTGACCACGGGATCAGCAATTGCAGTTCCAGTCCGAGTCACCGTTCTCCACCGTGCATTGCCTTCGACCGCGGGAGCAAAACTTGACCACGGGATTAGCAATTGCAGTTCCAATCCGAGTCACCGTTCTCCACCGTGCATTGCCTTCGACCGCGGGAGCAAAAACTCGACCACGGGATCAGCAATTGCAGTTCCAATCCGAGTCCCTTAGTGCTTTGTGGTTAGATAACTATGATTTCTCCGACCGCTACATGACGATTACAGATTACTCACGTTTTGATGCTCCTTAATCGGCAACGGTCGCGACAAGAAGTGGCGTATAAGGAAACGGTGGAACCGAGTGGCGAGGCAGTAGGTGAGCGGTTGGCTTCATTCTCATCATCCGAGTCGTCAAGGGTGGAGTTAGGATTGGATTCGCAGAAGTGATCCCCTCTCCAATATACCACGATAGCAAGTCAGCAGCTGAGTGCAGGCCGGCGAGTGATGCAAGCTGTAGGACTCAGTGTAGATCAGACGTTCAAGGAGACCTCCGATTATGGTGCACATCGACTCTTTTAACACTGACTCCAATTCCGCGACTGATTGCATGGTGGCCTAGAAGCTGATATCCTGGTAGTCAAAGCCTCCATGTCACTTTCAATTAACTCCGACTGACTCGACGGTTCTATTGATATAATCCCCATGCTTATAGAATTTTCTTTTTCGTTATGCAGATGCTATATGTACGTTCCCCCTGCATGTCTGATCAATACCATCTTTTAAAGGAAACAACATGCCTGCGTTCATCTCCTCCATAGTCCGAGTGCTACGCAACCGACTCCCAAGCCTTAGCCGAGTGCTTTCCTTGCCGACTCTAGACGTAATCAAGGTCGATTCCACGGATTCCAACTTGGCAGCATGCCACAGGATAGCCGAGTCCTTGACTACGGAGTTCGCCAGTCTATCTGGACTCGGCTTTCTCACTCGACAAGTTAGGTCGGGCCTATCCGGAGTGAGAAATTTTAACGGCGTTGACAACTTTGACTTGCTGTGCGTAAGTTTCTGGTTGTGGCTGGGTTGCCTTGGCGAGGTTGACGCTGGTTTCGGCTGGGATGACCGCCTCGTTGTTCTGAGATTCAATCCAAAAAATGTCGAAAGCTCCTCTCATCTACCACGAGCGACTCTGCCGAGTGATCGCCGGGGGGCTCTGCCTGCCATTTTTCGAGCAATATCGGATCTCTTTCACACTGCGTAAGCAGTCGGCAAGTGTGTCAAAGGCATCCGGGAGAAGATCAAACTAAAGGAAAAGCATTTTAATCGTTAAAATAATCTCATCCGAGTCCGAGTCCGAGTCCGTAGACGATTGCTATATCGCATTCAGTGATTCGGACTGCCCTGACCGGTAGTTCTCCAGTCCCTCGGTCGTGGAAGAATGGATTCGCATGTCTCAGCTTAGCCGGTTTCCCCATTTCTTTATCATTACAGGGAAGTCAAAATTGAACTCATAGAAATGATCTCTCCTTGTAGTGTAACATGATCGTAAGCCAACAGGTGAGTGCAGGTGGTTGATGGTGGCAGTGGGTGGAAGAACTCAGAGCAAACGTCCATGGGGGACTCTCGATTGCGGCATGCGCCGACTCCGACTCCGTCTTCGTAACCGACGTTGAGGCCGACTCCAACCCTGTGGCCGATTCAATTCCTGTGGGCTGCCGAGTTCCTCGATCAGACTTTGCCGGCTATTGTCCGGTTGAGTCCCTCAGTCGTCAATGCATTTCTCACGCTCATTTCATGAATGCAGTTTCGAATTGCAAGTGACATCTCCTCATGCTAATTCCTCCAACGATGTATCTAGGCCCTCAGCTTCTGTGCAACGGTTTTCTGTTCATGGTAGAGAGTACCATTTTTTTTGTATTTTTTTTGTATTTTTTTTAAGAAGGCAGAATGCGTAGATATATTTGGGCCAGGATGCTTATATATGTAGCGCACACTCACGACTCGGCGAACCTTCGTCAGTGCCTCAGTGGACTCATCAGCGAAGCTTTTTAATTTGGAATTGTTGTGCGCCACGTACTGCTGCTTCAATTCTCACAATTTGAGAATTTCATTTTGAATAATCATCTTTGAGCTACGTGAATGCATGATGGCTAAGGCATTTCATATGCCTTAAAAATTGTCTTATTGCTGAATCCTTGCATGAGCCTCATATGACATCACGGTATTTATATGCTTCTATATGAGCAAGCCTTTCACATGATAGGAGAAAAACGGAGAATAGCAACTTTGACCACGGTGTCTACCGTTAGGGTCGTGGTGGGGGAACCATTTATTCGGCGTCCCGATTTCTTGATTCCCCCGGCCGAGTCCCTCAGTGTGATGGACCGACCACTCTTTGTCAACAACTTTGAGTACTTTAATTTAAATATTACGTCTAATTTAAGGGTTACCTCTTATAGACCTCAACGCATAGCTTCTTTATTTGATTCTCCTCTAATTCTCTTCTTGGTCCACGGCTCTCCGTGAACCTTCTCAATCTCCCATCCGTAGTGACCGGATGCTCGCCGAAATTGCTCAGACAAAGAGGCAAACGCAACCTTTTGTCACGATCCCCACGGACGGCGCCAGTGATGGTTTTTGGGTTTTCGGGCCCAAGGAGGTCCAACACAACCTTTAGCTGGAGGATACACCTTTCAATAAAAAGCGTGCTAAAATAATATGGACTCGATGATTTTGACGTGGAAACCGAAAGGAAAACCACGGGCCTTTTGGGCGGTGCCAAGCCTAACTCCACTATGTATTTTGTAGGTGTCTTTGTACATATTTGTAGGGCTATATCTATACAATGTGTTGTGCTTCTAATAATATAGCAAGAATAATAGAAAGAAGAGTGATGGAATGGTGTGGAAGAGTCCTTCCATGTGTATATATGAGTGGTCTTCTCTTGGGAGAGTGGTGTAGGAAGAGTACTTGTATATAGGAATGAATGATATGTCTTCTTGAAGGAGAAGGAGTAGTGAGTGGTAGGAGTATTATTTGTTTGGTGATGTGGCGTAATGCACCCTTCCATCCTCAAGCCTTCCCCCTTTTGATCTTGCTGCCTCCCACCTTTTATAGCTAAAGGGACTAAGAGATGTTGGGGGGTATTTACTAGGATTTATGGGTATTAAGTTGGGGGGGGGGGGGGGTTAGGATGAGGTAGTAACTTAGGTAATTAATTGGGTAGTTAATGGGGAAATGAAGGGTAGTGATAGGTGGTTTAGTAGGGTAACAGCTACTTGGCCTATTGAGTGAATAGGGTAATAATTAGGAGTTTAATATCGGTTAACGACTAGTTTAGGCCGACCTTCTACTCGTGCCGACTTCCGGGTCGAGCCGACTCCTCGGTTTGACTCGTATCTCTTTTGGGCTTACTCCATTTTCCTCTTGGGCTTCGCTTCTTCTTCTTGGGCCCCGAGCCCACGGGGTTCACACCCCATCATCAGAAAATTAAACAAGTTTAGAATATTGATAAGTATAAAATTCTTTTTAAGTATGAAAAAAATTATTATGAATTTAAATGGGATAATGTAAGTGAGAGAAAGATATATAGTGGTGGGAGGAAGCTGTAATTGCTCTACTCCATTCTTTTTCTTTTTCTACTAGAATGGGTTGTTTGGTTCATGGAATAGGTCTGAAATGACATAGCATTTCCAGTAATAGGCCTATTTTTTTTTTTTTTTTGAAGAGAGAATAGTAGATATTATTAAAACAAATGCTGAATACAAGGAGGAATCAAAGATAACCAACATAAAGGACCAGGTTGTGAACGAGCAGCTCGTGCTAATGCATGAGCAAACTTATTCGCTGATCTCGGAATAAATTGAATAGACATCGATTCAAAATGTCGTCGACGTGTTATGCACTCATTTAGAACGCAACCTGCATAGGATAGATCATTTGCCATGCCAGAAAACCATCTGCAAACTAGCTGGCAATCAGAATAGATAACCAACTTGGTATCACCCCTATCTTTGGCCCAAGACAGTGTTTCTTTCACAGCCATAGCTTCAGCCAAAAAAAACATCCCGCAAGCATCTACTAGAGCCATTCTTTGCCGCTACATAATCGCCATTGCTATTTGTCATAAAAACACCAAAAAAACCACTACCCGAATCTGAGAAAATCGCCGCGTCCACATAGAAACAGACTGTACCTGAAGGTACGGTCAGATGGTGATCTTGAACAAATGAAGTTGGCAACGTGGTATTAGCATGCGACGGTCCTTCCTCCCACTCTATTATCAAGTTTGCAATTTCATGTTTAATTGTAGGGAGCTGCCAATCCGCACTGTTCCACACCAAAGCATTACAGTGCTTCCAAATTGTCCAGCACACTGCCGCACACTTCTTCAGAATGTTAACATCAGGCACTTCTAGCAATCTGGAGAACCAAGAAACAAAACCTTCATCAGTCACTAACTGCAGATGAGGCACATAGTCCCACAGAGGTTGAACCTGTGTACACTCAACAAATAAATGGCATAGAGTCTCCGGCTGTTGCTTACAAAGATGGCAATCCGTATCAACATCCATTTTCCTCGAAGCTAATGCTACCATTGTAGGTAAGACACCATGCATGCATCTCCATAAAAAGTTTAGAACCTTAGGGGGGGATTTTGAGTCTCCACAGATCCTTCCATGCAAAGTTAGTATTCACACCAACCTCAGTTATAGTAGAGATCAGCTTATAGCCGTGCTTCACTTGATACTGGCCTTTGAGATCATTTTTCCAGTTCCAGCTATCACTATAACTGGGAGCTACCGGAATTTTGCGGATCAAATCAATGTCCCGATCCTCAAAGCATGTTGCTAACTTCTGCACGTCCCAGTCCTTAGTCACAGGATCGATCAGCTCGCTAACAGTCATGCCATGGTTCTGGTTCAAACATGGGGAGTGGATAAACGGATCGTCAACATCAGGCAACCAAGGGTGTTTCCATACCAAGGTATCTTCGCCATTCCCGATACGTTTAACACAGCCAGTCGATAGAATATCCTTGCCTGCTAAAATAGAGCGCCAAACGTAGCTAGGACTAGAGCCAATTTCTGCATCCAAAAATTCAGTTCGAGGGTAATAACGAGCTTTAAAAATGCGAGCTGCTAAAGATGTTGGAGTCGTAAGAAGGCGCCAACCTTGTTTGGCTAACAGCGCAAGGTTGAATTCATTTAGCTGCTTAAATCCCATTCCACCATCAGTTTTGGGAGTACACATTCTTTGCCATGCCATCCATCGTATTCCACCACCTTCATTACCCCTTGCTCCCCACCAATACTGGTTCATAATACGCTTTATATGCTCACAGAAAGTTAATGGCAGATAGTAAATACCCATAGTGTATGTCGGCAAGGCTTGGGCGACGCTCTTGATAAGAACCTCCTTCCCGGCACGGGATAGAACCTTTTTATGCCATCCAGCAAGGCGATGCCTCAGCTTGGTCTCCAGATAAGCGATCACCTCCTTCCTGTTTCGACCAATCCCCAATGGCAATCCTAAATACTTGCCAAGATTCTCCACGGCTATGATATTAAGGGCAGTAATGACTGCACTCTTGTGTTCAGCGGATGTATTAGGACTAAAGATAGCGCATGATTTGCTGCAGTTAACCGCTTGGCCAGACATTGCCTCATATGCCGTGAGGCATCCTTTCACACTAATAGCCTCAGAAGATGTTGCTTTGAAAAAGAGGAGGCTGTCGTCGGCGAAGAAAAGATGAGACACTCCGGGAGCACCACGCGCCACCACACACGGGGAAATCTCTCGATTATGAACTGCCTTCCCCAATAAGTACCCCAACCCTTCTGCACAAAAGATGAATAAGTATGGTGATAAAGGGTCACCTTGACGTAGACCTCGGGATGGTAGGATGTGATCAGTTTGATGGCCATTTAAACCCACCCTATAGCGCACGGTTGTGACACATTTCATAACAATTTCAACCCACTGGTCTGCAAAGCCCATATGTAACATAATCTGCCTTAGAAAACCCCATTCCATCTTATCATAAGCTTTGGCCATATCAAGCTTCAGTGCACACCAACCAGTGTTTCCTTGTCTTTTCCGGTGTAAGTAGTGAATAACCTCCGAGGCAATAAATACATTATCGGTTATAAGCCGGCCATGCAAGAAAGCACTCTGTTCGGCAGATATAACCCCATTCAGGACTTCTTTGAGTCTATTAGCCAACATTTTTGATAATATCTTATAGGTCACATTGCAGAGCGCAATTGGTCGGAGATCCCCCATATAGACTGGTGTGGACTTCTTAGGAATCAAAGTTACATGAGCATCGTTCATCCCCGTAGGCCAATTCTGTCCATTTAAATAACCAAGAATAAACCGAGCCACATCATCCCCTATCTCGCTCCAAAAATGTTGAAAAAAAGCGGGACTAAAACCATCTGGTCCTGGAGATTTATCAGGGGCCATAGAAAAAAGGGCATCCTTGACGTCTTCCAACGAAAAGGGTCTTAAGAGCTGCTCGTTATCGTTGGGCGAAATTCTGTTAACGAGACCATCCAAAGGTGAGCAGTCTGTTTCTCCTCTCGTAGTAAAAATATCAGTATAGTAATCATTGACCAGTCCCAACAGAGCATTCCCTTCAAGCCAGTCTCCCATTTCAGTTTTTAGTCTAGCAATATTGTTCTTCCTTTTCCGTGCGGATGCGTAGAGATGGAAGTACTTAGTGTTTCTATCTCCACTAGATAACCAAAATTGCTTTGCCCTTTGTCGCCAAATAATGTTCTGCTGATCATACAAGCCATTCAATTTGATATTCATTTCCCCGAACAATGTTAATCCATGGCTATCACGTCTCTCACGAAGAAGATTTAAGCTCCATTGCAGTTGACTTATTTCCTTATCAATACACTGCACTAGACTGCCTCCCCAAAGTTTCAGTGAGGCACCACAGTGATCTAAACGGCCAGGTAGAACATCACCAATTGTAGCATTCCAAGCGTTTAGAACCACATCTTTACAACCAGAATCTTGGAGCCAAGCATTTTCAAACATAAAATTCCTTCTTTGCCGCCCCATCCTAGGGCCCTCAAGTTCCACAAAAATCGCAGTATGATCGGATGTCAAAACCTCATAGTTACGAACCTCTGCCCGATCAAACATAACCCTCCAGTCCGCTCCTGCTACAGCCCTATCAAGCTTTTCCTCCACCTAGTGCTCTGTCCCCTGTCCACGTTCCCAAGTGAACTGTCTCCCTTTCAAACCCAGGTCAAAGAGTCGACAATCATCTAAGGCACGAGTAAAAACATCTATCAAGGCAGTGGGATGCGGGTGTTGGCCGCGTTTCTCATTTGGGGACAAAATATCATTGAAATCCCCCGCCACCAACCAAGGGAGATCAGACTTACGGCTAAGAAAACGCAAAAGATCCCAGGAGCGTTGATGATTCTCTCTCTCCGGGAAACCATAGAAACCCGTCAACCTCCAAGCATTGCTGCCAGGCAGCCGTACTTGAACGTCGATGTGGTTTTTTGAAAAACTAATAAGGTTTGCCACGTTTTTATATCTCCAGAGAAGAGCAAGTCCTCCACCACGCCCCCCTCCATCCACGTAAAAAAGACCTTCAAAATTCAGTTTGGTGAACATTTGTATTCCCATGAACATTGTTCCTGTCAATGACCCATTCCTTCTACAGAGGGAATAGCTATTACTGGCCTCTCCCTGATATTAACCTATCTCTAAACTCTTAGGAATAGTTTTTTTTTATTATATTTTTTTATTTTCTTTTTTACCCTTTTTTAACCTAAACTTTTATGCTTATTTCTCTCTCTTTCTCTATGTCATCGCATCACTTCCGCCATTGCATCAAATTGCAATTCTTCATCAAGCTAAATGTATTCTTTTTTTTTTTTTACAAATTAATTAATTAATTAATTAATTATATATATATATATATATATAATTCGTTGCGAAAGATTAAGATTCGACCACCTTGGGATCCATAATTTACACGTTTGGGGTCTGCAACAACTACATCTTCTAAGCCAACATATCCACAAAAGTTTAAAGAACATACATCTCTCAAGATTGAACTTTATGGATTGAATCGCCTTTCCTGACGGCTTGGATGATTTTGAACCCTGAGTATGTGTTGGTTTCTTACAAGAAGTAGAAGACGATCCTTTAATACAGATTTGAAGGAGAAGGCTCTCCCCGGAAAAGAGTGATAAAAAAGGTAAAGGATGGAGAAGGGTGTTGCTACCAGTGATTCAAGGCGCTTAAAGGGTATGAACACACCCATGCCGATGCGGGTAAGACTGCTGGCCTGGGCAAGGTTGGCTGTTCTGATCTCCGCTCATCATCGCCTCCCTCTCTCCGTTCTCTATCACCATGCGATCGATCTTTGGCGGCTTCGTCTCGTCTCTGAGACCCCAACACTGCCATCGTCCGTGGGATCTGACGATGAGGAGACCATTGTTAGCTGCACAATAGATTTTACCAGTGATTCCAAGCGTTCCACTGAAAATATCCGAGTTACGTTATAGGACAAATGTAATGCGAGAGGTTCTAATTATCGCAATCACGGAATGGTTGGCGTTTTCAGTCATTGCCTACTACCTAGATCAAGTCATATCATCTGAGAGTGGCATTCGCTATTTTGTCCGTGAAAATCTCCAAAGCAGCTTTTATTTTCTGTTCAGAAATCTCCTCAGAACAATGAATCCGTTATACAAATGAAAAATGAAAATTGCTACTAATAATAATAATAAAAATAATAGTATTTTATTATTATTATTATTATTATTATTATTATTATTATTATATACTAGTTATCCACCCGTGCGATGCACGGACAAAATATATATATATAATATATATATATATATATATATATATTATAATATATATTATATATTATATATATATATATAATATATATATATATATATATGAAAATAAAATAATTGTTGATAATAGCAAAACTCAAACAATGTTGATTTGTTTAACATTTAAAAAAATGATTGATTTTAATATATAAAAATGTGTGTAACAAAAAATAATAACATACAAAGTTTATATATTATAAAATATATCTTTGATGGATTTAATTAAACCGGGGGTCCGACTTAACTAACCCGAATAAGGATACGAATAATAAATAAATGATACGAATGATATAGTAAAGGCCATGAGACTGTAGATTGTATTAAATGCCGTAGAATTGGCTATTGCAGTAGTATTTTAGGACAAAGTATGTAGGAAATGTAGATCGTGTCCTAACTAGACAAGGTGGGGGGTTTTATACAACCCCCGCCCCTAACCGCCACCCCTTAAAGCGGGGGGTGGTTAGATCCGAGTTGACCGCGCCCGGGCCGTGCTGTGGGGCCAGGCCGACCCCATTTGGAGGTCGGCCCGGCCTCCTGGAGAGGCCGGCCCGGCCTCCGACGTGGCCCGTGCGGGGGCCATGTGGCGAGGCCCCGTCCGGGGCGGGTACGTGGCGCCGCCCCGGGACCCGTTCTTGTCCGCGCCCTCGGGTCGGTGCGGGTCGGTTCCTAATATAATCCGTCATCAGTCCCCCCACTCTCCGAGCTGCGAGTAA